TATATATATATATACTACCAACATTTTTGTGAAAAAGAAGTATGATCAACAACTCTTCTTTTACATAGCCTAAATGTAAACTTTGTGGGACGTGCAAGTATTCAAAACCCTTAGTAATTTAAACTTTCTGATTGCATGTATTCCTCACCCTTTTAAATTTTGACACATGGGGAAAGGTTAGTACAGTTAGGGTACATCTCATTGTACTCAAATTTTAAAATTTTCATTTTCTGCTCTAATTTAGTTGCGGGAATTCCACGTCGTGGGGCGTAAATATCCCACAGACAAGGAGCCAACCCCTGCACTCTACAAGATGAGGATATTTGCTCCTAATGCCATTATTGCAAAGTCCCGGTTTTGGTATTTCACCAACAAGTTGAAGAAGCTGAAGAAATCACAGGGTGAAGTTGTTGGCTGCAGTAAGGTAAAATACAACAATGTACATTTAATATCAGATCTGGCATACTATTAATATTTTAAGAACTGTCCAGATTACCTTTTTTTTCAAAAGCATGTGACATGCTTATATTTGGTCATAATGACATCACATTATGACCATATATAGGCACATCAATGATTATATTGGCGTATAGGCAACAGTTTTTTTGATAGAGATAGCCAGAGCTTTACACAAGGAGTAGCAACAATCCAAATCAAAGAATTGGCTTTGTGATTGTTAAAGGAAAGACTATGACCCCCTCACCAAATGTTGGTGTTTGTAAGAGTGGTCAGCAGATGGGTTGCAGTTTGGGCTATCAAGTTCTTATCCCTTTCTGTGCATTTTGCTCGTGCCTTGAGCATTGTTTATTTCTATCCAATAAAAAAATTCATGCACATAACTCACTTAAACTAATAGGCATCTCCATTAGTTTGAGTTTTTCAAATGTGCAAATATAAAATCAGTTTTGTCGCCTTCCCTAGCTTAAAAGTAGCTAGAGGAAGTGAACCAATAAAATTGAAACACTATTAATCTACAGTATTATTATTAATAAAATAATGAATATTTTTTTTATGTTAATACATTTAAAAATTGTTTATACACAGATTTCTGAGAAGCGACCAGGAACCATTAAGAATTTTGGAATCTGGCTGCGTTACGATTCACGTAGTGGAACCCACAACATGTACCGCGAGTATCGTGATTTGACAACTGCCAGTGCCGTTACTCAATGCTGTAAGTACTGTACATTACAATTCAACTATGAAGTATTTTTTTAGAAGTTAAATTGCCTTTCGTAACATCTGAAAATTTAACAATTTAAAAATCAAGAATTTAGTTGCAATATTACAGTTATCTTACAATAAGACACATTGGATGAGAAAAAAATAATTTTCACTGAATTAGTTCTACAGGCCTTTAAATCATCAGTTAATTTTTGGGTGTATGCAAAAAAATATACAGGAACAATATTGTTTATGACTGGTAGTTAGATATATAATTTCTCATTCTGTATTACATAACATCTTATTACAAGAGGAATTAAATATGAATTTACAAATCTTTATTTGCTTCACTAACAGATCGTGATATGGGAGCTCGTCATCGCGCAAGGTCTCATTCAATACAGATAATGAGAGTGCAGCAGATCCCTGCTAGCAAGTGCCGCAGAGCCCACGTCAAGCAGTTCCATGTAAGTCGTAACATGTTTATAGTAAATGAAAGGATAATGGGGATGGAATGACTTCCAGTTCAGATCAACTACAACAGATTGTAATAAAATTTCAATCAAAACTTAGAATTGGTCACAGACGAAGTCAATTAAAAAAACGTTGGTCACTCTGTTAAAAACTTGTAAAAGTAATTACTAGCCACTCTCAGATCCTATGCAAAGATCATTAAACCAGTATGTTGAATTGCCAAGAAAACTTTAATTAAATCTAATAATTCACATGTGCGAAGTAAGAAATTTAGATACTGTATTCAATTTTAATTATTTTTTTAGCTCAACATAGACACAGTATATCTTTCACAATTATCTGTGTTAAAATTTTAATTGTGTATGTATTGCGGTCTGGGGTTTCAATCTCTCACTGTTCATTTCATCTAGTAACATTGCTTCTCTCCACCTTGGAGTATAAATGGGTAACTGGTGGGGTTGCCTGCTGCTGTGCTGAATACAGCAGCACTTGAGCATGTGTACTCATTGACCAGGGAATGAAGCGCTTTGTATCTGCAAAACAAGGCACTATATAAGTAAACGAATAAATAAAAATCAGTTGCACAAAAAAACTCCCTTGAACATTTTGAAATCTACAATTGTTTAGGTTCTTATTCTGTGCAAACATAAAACTCATTCTCCTTGTCGCCTTTCCTAGCTGTGTATTATAGCTTGTGAGAGTGAACTTCAAGGGGAATACAGTACATGCTTTTTACCAATAAAGGTAGCAACGATTTCAAAATTATGACACTAAATATTAATGACAATTTGGGTGGTTTTTTTTTTTTTGCTTTCAGAATTCCAAGATCAAGTTCCCACTTCCTCACCGTACCATGCGTACATACAGGCCTGTGTTTACCACCAAGAGACCTAACACATTCTTCTAAACAGGACAGCCTTTGGTGTTACATTATAAGGAAGAAATACATTACATTTATTTTGCCAAAAAGAATGGAAATAAATTAATTACATTGAGGCAACAATTCCTTTGTTCTCTGTTTTTTAAATGTACATACTTTGTTTTCAATTTACAGTGCATATAAGGGGAAAAAAATGAGTACAGTATACGTGTCTGGGTTTGCCAGATACTAGCACTAATAAACAAAACAAACTGACTGAATAAAATGTGAACTTACAAGCCTTTATTTTAAAGTAAAAGAAGGGAAAGAACTGGGAAGCAAGCAAGTTGGAAAATATACTCAACTACAGCAGCCACTCCATAGAGTGGATAGCGAACAATACTTCTGGGAGACTCGGGACCTCTGACCCATTTACTTCCAACAGACAAGTTTTCATCAGCCCAATTTGAGAGTAATAATCAACTAATTCATACTATAGGGCCTATACAGAGTACTGCTACCTAAATGATGAACTTACAAATTGCATGCTATTAAATTTATGGTAGTAAATTCAAAGCTTTTGTAGAGCAACATCTGTAAATTAATTAAACACTGATTAAATTTGTCCAACCTGCAACTTTATTGGATGTTAACTTGCAGTTCTTTAAAGCAATCAAAATTTTGAGCATAGTATAATCTTTATAATTTAAATAATCTTGGTGTGTTACACCAGAGTACAAAGTCAGGCATACTGCATCATAAGATGACTCACAGCGATGGCATCAACATTCGCCCCACCCCATCCCCCGGAGATATGCCACGCTCAGCACTATAATGGTTCAGATCGAGGTCAAAACAAATTATTTGCATTTGCATTTGTGACATCTAGATGCCCGGTCAGCCGTCTTTGGCATAGAAAATAACTACAGTAATTAATTTTCCCCAACAGATTTTACCAAGACCGCGCCCAGCTGTCACACTTACTGACGCGGCTCTTGCCGACTAATCTATCTTCACTGCTAATGCCCTGCCACCATCTGCCGATTGTCTGCAAAAGTATCTCTTTAAAACACGCCAATTAGCTGTTAGATTGCATTTGACCAAGATAGAAATTTTACAGAAACGCGGCTGTTCAAATGCCTTAATAAAGTTCTAATTGGAAAAATATAGCACACATTTTAATGTATGTACACAAAAGTTATTGTGGAACAAGCATGTACACAGTGTTCCGATTGGTCAGTCGTTAAGGTTGATTGCAATGGAAACCAGTGCCCAAGCTTTCATTCCGACAGAATGCCTGAAGAAATCCTCAAACATAATACTATAATATGGTGTGTGATGGTGCTCCAGCCAAACCTGGTACTGTAGCGATCTTTCACATTTATCTCATCTAGCATGGTTTTTAATTCAAAATACCCTTTCGTAGTGTCAACTGCATTCGACAATGTGAAAGGTCATATCACATAAATTATAATATTGTTATGTATCTGAATACTGCAACAAATCTGCAATAACTATTTTGGAGAGATCATTCTTTAATATCAATTACAAATACCTGTACAAACAAAATGTTTAATCAGCTATATTAATGTTTATTAGACAGCTCAACAGTAAAATATACAAATTTATTAATAATTGCATTGATTTTGCATTCAAACTCATCACACATGTGCAATATAACTAACAGCCATATGTTCGTGTATTTAAAGGCTTATAAATGAAAAGAATAATAAAATCATCAATCCTGTCACTTTTTTAGCTGTTGTATTTTGCTTGTTTCCTTGAGCATGGCACTTTTAAAGTAGGTAATATCTACACTGCTTCAGTCTACCCAGCTGTATCGATGGGTACCAGCAGATTGCTGGGAGTATCCTGCGGTGGACCAGCCATATATAGGGAGCGTTCAATTTGTGCGACGACGCGACGCTAGAACGAAATCGCTCATGTGTGACCATCCTACCTGGCATCCTACGTTCTCTGCATACGTAGATTTAGCCATATTGTGTTCCAGAATCTACTCAACGAGGTGACCTTAACGTTCTCGCATGCGCAGATTGCTTTTAGTGATGTCACATTCTACGTCCTACCGTCGTCATGCAATCGAAAGCTCCAGCCCCATGAGCCCTAGTGGTTCAGCAAGGATTTAGATTTTAGCTTGATGCAAATGAAAATAAAATGCAACTTCACTAACAGAAGTAATGCGAGTTTGCACTAAAATTGACGTGCACATAAATAAACTCAGACTGAGCTATAACACTGGCTGGTAGAGAACCTCGCACTGGCCCATGTGTAATGGGGTTTTACAAGGAAATTTGCATTCATGGTCAAAGGTGACATAGCTTTGCTAAATTTTCTGAAGTGTAGGGAACTTTAGAAAAGCAACAAGACTTACTGGTATCAGAATCACATAAAGAAATGTGTCATCGTTATTTTTATTCACAATAAATTTTCAGAAATATAACAAAATGTGCCATAAATTTGTTATACTAGCAATGAAAGAAATTTGTCAACATTTTTATTTAATTTTATCATAATAAATTATTATTTCAAAGAATATGGCCATAAATATTTCATACATATAATTAATTCCACTTTTTCACTGAAGTTTAAACAGATCAAAAAACAATTTCACATCCATACAGTGGTGGTGCCAGAAATTTATTGACAAGGGGTCTGACGTGTCCGACAGAGGGGTCTGAACCAAGACGACAATGATCGCCTCGGGCGACAATGATCGCCTCAGTCGACGGTGCGATATAAAAAATCCGGCTGTTAGGGTTCATGGGGTGAGTTTTTATTCTTAATTTGGTCCTAAATGTGCTTTAAGACCACAATATTAGGGATTGCCCATCAAAAAAGCATTATTTGGATAGGTAAATTATTATTTTTTTAATTTTTGGTCCGACGACCTAGCCATTCATCGGACGACAGGGATCCAGGCCTGTCCGACAGGTGGGAAAATGCCCCCATGCTAATCCGCTGGCACCACCACTGCAGCCATAGCAGACAGGCTACACTGAGGTTGTTTTACTGGACTTGAAAGTGAGGTGATCAGGATAAAAAAAACATAAATAAATGTTTCAAAAATTGTAATCGACCAGTCCACGAATTCAGATTTAAAATTCCTTTGTGAGTGGGTGTGAAGCGACGTAAGCCCTATTCTCACAAATTTCGTCAGATATCCTTTCAATTGTAGAATCTCCGTTTGCATCTGGGGCTATATAAAATAAAATTAAAGAAATGGTCAATAAAATGTTGATAATCTTTATTGAACATCAAGTAAATCACTAATTACCAGATTTAACACACTGAGTGCAATCTACGAAAAAACATGCACCTGTTTTTAGGGGTACCCCTATTATGGGGACACTAACCAAAAAAATCAAATTGTTTCCACAGTAGGCGTTTTGGCATGTAGTCATACAATGAAGACCTAGATTGTTTTCAATTATAATTCATTTGACCTAAGAATGAGTTACAATACATACTAAACTAAATGTTAACAATAATTTGCAATGCAAACACAATACATTATGAAATCAAAATAAATGTAGAAAAAAAAAAAAGAGAAGTATATTGTTCTAGATTCGAGTGTTATGATACAGCAGAATGAATAGAGTAATGACTTAGAAATCAGGGGGAGGGTTACAGTATGGATTTGAATCATGTATGCAAGTCCACAGGAAAATCTGAAAATTTTGAATCTCTTGTAGTAATAAAATAAACAAAATTAGTGATACAATAAAAATGTGTCCCTTTAATAGGGATTGTAAATGTATAGATTTGGTCATTTGACTCAGAAAAGTGTTCCCGTTCCCTTAATAGGGGTTGACCATAATGTTAAAAGATATATTTCCCTCATTTCGTGGAAAAATGTCCTCTGAATATGAGTTTCTCTAGAATAGGGGTGTCTTAAAGGAGGGGGGAGGGATTTACTGTATTTCATCACAAACTAAACTTGCAATACTAGGCTACTTACACAGAGCTAGCTGTCTGACATTCTCCATGACCCTATCATATGCTTCGTTACAGAACACGGTGGCGATCAGGCAATCATGGTCATTGTTCTTAATACCATTGACCTTTGCCCTTGTAGCCCTTGACAACACAGCTGTCATGCTGTAAATGTCGATGGAGATGTCGGCAATTCTCTTCAGGACAAGTTGCTGGTTGATAATATCCTGTAAAACGTAGTGTTTAAATGGTAATGGTTCTGCGTTTCTGAAGCTCCTTCCACAATAAAAACACATCAAGATGCATTGATTTAAAACTAAACAAGAGACTACTATCTAATAAAATAACTATTGGATGAACAGTCGCAAAGGCGAAGGGGAGGAAAGTGCGCACCCGATTTTGAGAAATGGTGTCGCCATCACTACTGCGTATGCAGATAGCTAGCACCTTAGGCCTTGAGACTAGTGGCAGGCCGAGATACTTGTAACGGTACTTCCACATTTTTTTAATGACATCCCCATTCTATGTTACAGGTCTGCAAGTCTTCGTAATTATAGGCCTATTATGACGTTGCCTTTGTATTTCAATATTAACTATGATAGGTTTGGGCCTTTTTTGTCAAAATGAGAGAATATTTTAGCATATAAGGGGGGAAGGGTGAGGAATAAAAAAAAACTTGCATCCCAGGTTCTTCTACCCTACCACTAGAGATTTATCAAGCACATTACTAAGTAGGCTAGTTAAAAGCATTGCTTGTGGAAATTGTCCATATTCCTAAAAATGGCCCATGTGTACCTCAGCCCACCATGGCTGATGGTGAAGTGAACACATTTTTAAAATAGACACCTCTAGATGCTTTGAAATGGCACTCAGTTTTTATAACAGAATGACAACCCGAGCCTGCTCCCGGATCGGCCGCTGGCATTTCACGTGGCCAATGGTCAGAAAACGCATCACACTTAACACCCTTCACTTAATCCTTTACCCCATCAGTCTCCCCATATCACTCTATGTCATTAGGTCTAGATCAGTGAGTAGAGTAGGTGGTCATATTTCTATAAATAGAAAAATGTTTCTCTTTCTAAGTTCTAAAAAATTGGCTGGAAAATAATTTATATTTTAGCAATGTCACGCGGACCGGATTCAAATATTTGGCGGGTAGGAATAGGCTTTCCTTTAATCTTAATTACTATTAAGATTAATATCCTTACATATTCTTATTTCTTCCTCATCATCAGCATTGTTTGTCGTTGCTGTTGCTGCTCTTGTTGTTGTTGTTAATAAATTGACTTTATATTTCTGGGAAATATTTAGACACCCTACACTCTATTTCAGTTAAAACCCCATTTCATAGAGGCTACAAAAACTACTGAATAAATAAAAAATAAATCTTCACAAACCTTCTTATATTTACTGAGCATAGATTCATTGACATAGTAAAATGTACCAACACACTCCTCTAACTTCTTTGTTTGCTCCTAAAAAACATAGGAAATTATCTTGTCAATTACAAGACCAAAACATGGAAATGTAGAGCTCATTAGTATATAAAAAATAATTTTAAAAATTTTAAATGTTAAGAATTCAAATGTTTAAAAAAGCTAAAATGTTTTGAATTGAGGACAACAGCATTTAATTTACAGCAATCAGGGGCACATCCAGAGATGTTCGAAAGGGTTGTGGAGGTGGGGGGGCGCGCGATCAAGAAAAATACTACTCTAGGGGATCCGGGAAATTTTTGTTTTCTACACACCCGTAAAAAACCTCTCAGGCATTTTTGGGCAGTCAATAATTTCTTTTTTTTTTTCCTTTTTTACTCCATCCCCTAAATCCTGGGAGCTCTCCGGCACCAACCGAAGAAACAAAAAAAAAATACTTCATTATAAAATTTATGCAGCTTAACCTTAAATGTAGGATGAATACCGCCTTCACCCGGAAATATTTTCATGTCTTTCTTCATGCCCATTCTGTACTTCACACGGTCAATGAAGCTAGAGAAAATAAATCTTGGGTTCGACATTGGATTCTTTAACTTCCTGTATTAAAAAAAAAACAAAAAAAAAACAATCAAAATTCAAAAATAACGATATATTAATTTAAAATTACACAAAGAAAAATTTGGATGAAACAGATCCTCACAAAATGAGTCAAAAATGCAAAAACAATGGGACATCAGCTTTTAATTTGCTATTTAAAATAAACTACAGTATTTCTATTAGAGAGTCAGTATACATAATAAAACTTTCCAGACTGTCAATCAAACTTAACTGACCAATCAGAACAGGGTCAGGGGTACATGCATGTCCTATGAACACAGGTGTTGTCCAATAATTCCCTTTCCATTGACACCAATCATGACCATGTTTTATGTAGTGTGTCAGCCATCTTGAAATTAAAAATGGCGGCTGATGACATTGGGAAAAAAAATTTGTTTAATTCAGCGCACTAAAAATTATAAAGTTAGTCAATAACATCTATTTTGGCACAAAAATTTAGCCTGTCTCTTATACACATCTAGATGTGTATAAGAGACAGCCTACACTCTATTCCAGTTAAAACTTTATTTCATAGAGGCTACAAAAACTACTGAATAAATAAAAAATAAATCTTCACAAACCTTCTTATATTTACTGAGCATAGATTCATTGACATAGTAAAATGTACCAACACACTCCTCTAACTTCTTTGTTTGCTCCTAAAAAACATAGGAAATTATCTTGTCAATTACAAGACCAAAACATGGAAATGTAGAGCTCATTAGTATATAAAAAATAATTTTAAAAATTTTAAATGTTAAGAATTCAAATGTTTAAAAAAGCTAAAATGTTTTGAATTGAGGACAACAGCATTTAATTTACAGCAATCAGGGGCACATCCAGAGATGTTCGAAAGGGTTGTGGGGGTGGGGGGGGGGCGTGATCGTGAAAAATACTACTATAGGGGATCCGGGAAATTTTTGTTTTCTAGACACCCGTAAAAAACCTCTGAGGCATTTTTGGGCAGTCAATAATTTCTTTTTTTTTTTCTTTTTTACTCCATCCCCTAAATCTGCCTGGGAGCTCTCCAGCACCAACCGAAGAAACAAAAAAAAAGGCTTCATTATAAAATTTATGCAGCTTAACCTTAAATGAAGGATGAATACCGCCTTCACCCGGAAATATTTTCATGTCTTTCTTCATGCCCATTCTGTACTTCACACGGTCGATGAAGCTAGAGAAAATAAATCTTGGGTTCGACATTGGATTCTTTAACTTCCTGTATTAAAAAAAAACAATCAAAGTTCAAAAATAACAATATATTAATTTAAAATTACACAAAGAAAAATTTTGATGAAACAGATCCTCACAAAATGAGTCAAAAATGCATAAACAATGGGACATCAGCTTTTAATTTGCTATTTAAAATAAACTACAGTATTTCTATTAGAGAGTCAGTGTACATAATAAAACTTTCCAGACTGTCAATCAAACTTAACTGACCAATCAGAACAGGGTCAGGGGTATATGCATGTCCTATGAACACAGGTGTTGTCCAACAAACGTAGATGTTTGCGTATTGAGACCTTAGCAACAATATCCAAGGGGCGGGGCTTAGCGGAAAGGTCAATTGGACCATTGTAAGAAGAGTGTTTACTGCTTTGAATCTTGATTTAAAGAGTATGCATTAAAGCTTGTATTTCAATCAATATTAATATCTAAATTTACATTTATTTATTCTAATATTAAGGTAATTTTTAGCACATTTTTTATTTTTATTTTTTTTCTCTTGTTATTTCATACAAGGTTACACAAATTTGTTTTTGATCAAGGTCAAAAGCAACGTCATGGGATAGGAATTGAACTCCTGACCTTTCAATTGTAAGGCTGACGACTTTCCACTGTGTCACAAAAATCAATATTCTATCAACTTACTTGAGTGCATCCTTGAGCTCATTGCCAGCATATTGCAGACCTGTCAGAGCAATGAACAAACGAAGGATCTCATTGGTGCCTTCAAAGATCATCATGATACGCGAGTCTCGGAGGTAGCGCTCGTAAGGGTAATCTTTCATGTAGCCTAAGCCTCCCAGGATCTGGAGCGCTTGGCTGACATGTTCCCAGCAAGCTTCAGAGCTGTAGATCTGAATGTGTGAATAAAGAAAGTGTAAACTTTGTCATCGCTCTTGCTAACCAAATTGCAAAAATTCTATCGCGTCGCTTGATATTTGTAGATACATATTCTATGAATTATGTTTATGCCACTGAAAATTGGTAAAAAGAAGGATAGAAAAGAGAAAAAATAAAAAGAATGAAGAGTTGCTGTTTAACCAATTAGCACATTCCCAGGTAATAAATTTTACAGTTACTGAGGTGCAGTTGGTTTGAATTATGTGAGAGTGTGCTGATTGAGTATTGAATACTATGTGATCTAATAATGGTTATGGTTAATTGTAGACTTGCATAGCACATATAAATAGGTGTCTATGCGTTTCAGCAAATGTCCAATAGAAGTTTAATAAAAGAAACAAATACGATGCAGAAACAAATACGATGCAGAAACAACAAACTTTTTTTCCAAAAACAACCATAAAAACAATTAGATGGATGAGAAAATATGAGTCTGGCCTAAGAAAATGGATGAAGATTCCCATGTATTAATGGAAAGAATTCCAGAAATTTGGAGCAGCGTCCTTAGACAATATAAACCTAACATACCTAGCTAAATGTTAATAAAATACAGCAATCCACTGAAAAGTAATACACACCTTAACAATAGCAGCTTCCAAAGAACAGTCTTTCTCTCCTGGTCGATCCATCATGGATGCTGTTAAGAAAGCTGTACTCTCCATCACATAGGCTGAGATAGCCATACGTCCTATTTTCTCTTTGATCATTCCAAACTCCTTTAGCTTCGTGTCGAACTGCTTTCGGGTAACAGCATGTTCTACAACCTCCCCTGTTAACCACATGTAAAACCATAATAAGCAGCAAAAAGTAGGAATTCCGATGATGAAACAAAAATTGTCCAAAAACCTTCTCAAACTTGTAGGGGGGGGGGGGGTAGTATTATATGCAGATTGCCTTATATGCGAGTATATACTGCAGTTAGTTTACCAGGTAAGTACTTATGAAATAGACTAATCAACTTACAACAGATATTTAACAAAATAAAAAGTCTCTGAACCTAAATGTAAACCAGCATTATATATTTCATAATTTTTAAATCGTAACGCATCACATCATCATAAAACAATGCTGCAAGATCAAGCATTTGAGCACAATGTTATGCCACACATAAGACAATTGAAATCGTATAGTTGTATTACCAATGAGAGTCCGTATAATGCCACCTCCAGAGGCACCCATGCTGAAGCGTCCATTATTGAGGATGTTGAGTGCCAACTTAAACCCACTGCCTGGCTCACCAATCATGTTTTCAACAGGAACTGGACAATTTTCAAAGTGCACTTCGCATGCTAAACAAGAAAATCAATTTATTATTCATTGCAATTATTATTATCATTATTTAATTAACAGATTGGGCCTGCTGAACAGGAAATGAATCTACTGCCTCAGTCTGCCACAACCTCTACCAAGAGTGCTGTCCAAAGGAGGACGTTTAGCTAATACCAATCAATCTATTAAACTGCTCTATAAAATAATATTATCGAGCATTCATATATATCGCGCCAGTATCAGTTCCAAAGTAATATTCATGGCGTACTGACATCTCACCCATAATCAACATTTATAAATTTATTCCAGACAATATAAAATTTTATGAAACAAATTTACCATGTATGACACCATAATGCCTATATATGGATTTGATATGAAATCATCAAATCCATATATGGGTAATTCAAATAGATTTGACACACAAAACTTGACTTACTGTTTGATCCTCTTATTCCAAGTTTGTCTTCTGGTTTTCCACTGGTGATGCCACCAAATTTTCTCTCAACTATGAAAGCTGAGATCTTGTCTTTCTTTTCACCCTATTTAACAATCATATATTTTTATATTCATATTTACTGTATTAAATGTATGTAAATCTCAATCTTGTTTGGTATTAATATTTGAATATAAATTTTCTTAGAGCTTCTATATTGTACAAAACAAGAATAAAAAAGTACATATTTTACCTTATCATCTACTACATCTTCTCTTGCAAATACAGTAAAAACATCAGCAATGCCACCATTTGAAATCCAAATCTGAAAATGATGCGGTTGAAATGAAAAGGTATATGTGACAAAGACAAGCTAAACCAGTCACTCGTCGCAATTTGTGTTTCAAAGATCGCCCAAAACATGCTGGAATGCCAACATTTTTGAAATCTATTTTATTGCACTAAACTAACCTTTATGTATCTATAAATCATGCCATGCTGTTATTTTCCCCAATTTTCAATGTTAAAACAACAATTTTAACGACTTGGTAATGGTCTCTGCTTCAGAAAAGTCCGATATCATAAACTTTAAAGGCTAATTTCTCCAATATTGTTCTTTAAACAGCTTTATGTTTGAATGCTTGTAACTTCATAAGGAAATGTCAGATTAAATGATTCTTTTACCATTTTATAGCTCTCATTTGACTGTTTAACCCTGTATTAATAACTAAAAATTGATTTTTGCAAACAGTGACGGGTTTGGCTTGTCTTTACATGAAAATTATTTTGTTTTCTCCTAGAAAAATTAATTAATGAACCTACATGCAGAGAATTTATTCCACTAATAAGATCCTATCCTACATCCTCTTTTCTAATAATAATAATAGAATGATGTATCCTGAAATAGTGACTTTCCAACAAACCCTAACGGAATTAAGTATGCTGATGATAGGAATGTTAATTTGCTAAGGTCCTCATAAATTACTCTAACTGAATACTGTATCCTTGGGTAGGCACTTTTTATTTACCTTGCTTCCATTCAACAGATAGTGTTTTCCATCTGGACTTAGTGTGGCTCTTGTCCTTAATGAGCCTGCATCACTACCACTGTGAAAAAATAGTACATAAGAATGAACAAACTGAAATTGCAACTTGCAATTAAATGAGGCATGTCGTGGCAAAATGGTTAAGTTGTCACACAGGCCAGTATTGAGTAAATGAGCTATAAAATATGGGAGCTCAAAAAATTGCCTAAAAATCCACTATAGATCAACAGTTTAATGTCTTATTAATCATATACCAAAGTATTAGTTCTGGAAGTGGTCAACAAGTTGTTTATTTAACGTTATTTTGATAGTCCATTCTATTAAACAATGTAGGCACAAATAACTTTGAAAGGCAATTACTTAAAATCATGTTTATCTTGATTCTAAGAGTATTGTACTTTCACTTTCCAACAACTTAGGCTTAAAATGTCCAATTTCAATGAATGACCCCTCATTTTAAAGATCACATACTCAGGTATCTGAAAATACCAATAACTTGAATTTCAATTTTTGCTACAACTTAGCCATTTTGCCACAACATGCCTCAAATGTCATGTAGTCCCTTTCTCAAGGATACCCCCTACAGAAACTTGTTTCTCTTGTTTTTCATTCATTCTTATAACATCCAGAAAAAATTTCAGCAGAAAATCAAACTTGGGGGCTATACTTGGTGGTTTCTAATCAAGGCACTTTACGTACAGCTGTCTCTCTCCACCCAGGAGTACAAGTGGGTACCTGGTAGGTTCAAACACAAAAGGCGCTGATTACTAGCTGTAGCATTATGAATTTTCACCCCAGAGAGCCAAATATGTGCTCAATGTAAAGGATCCAATGGCTGGAGTAATAATATGAAGCGCTTAGGCCTGGTTTTTCAGGGTCTTCACTTCAATTGTTACACTGCGTTGCTGTCCTCGACATAACAAGGAAGGTTCTCTTTTTCGACCGACCAATCAGCGTTGCCCAATTTAAGCAGTCAGCAATAGTTTGTAGCAATTTTATGGAAACCAGATTTTATAAGCCATTATCAATCATTAGTATTTATTACCTCTGCCAAAGGAAGTTATATATTCACTGATGTCTGTCTCGTCTGTTATTAAGATTACGCAAAAACTAAAGAATGGATCATCATAAACTTTAGTGGAATGGTACATAATATTAATTATTATAAAAGATGATAAAATTTTGGGTAGAAAAGGTCAAAAGACAAGGTCTAGGTCACAAAAATTTGATTATTTTACCCCCCAAGCATCAAAGAAAATAATGGAATGGCCTGACTGTGTTTTGTTTGGTATTCTGGCGCAGTGCAGAGGTACGTTCTCTACGTAGTGACTGCTATAGTTCAAAATGTTTGTAGTTGTCATGTTTTACCTTGAGGGCTCTGTGAGGCAGAATGCCGCAACATGTTCACCTGTTGCTAGCTTTGGTAGGTATTTACGTTTCTGTTCATCCGTTCCAGCCATGAGGATTCCCTAATGAAATAGGATTAAAGAAGCATTCAAGCATTTGAGATGATAAATATGTCAGACTTACATACAGTAATGCTTAAATGCAAATAAGGCTTCTAAACAGTTCACAGTATTACCCCAGTCATTGATTAGTTCAGATAATATGGAACACATACTCAGCTCTCTGAGGAGAATTCCATAGTGTTGCAGCTGTAATCAGCGCATATTTTGTTCAAACCTACCAAGTACCCATTTGTACTCCTGAAAGGAAGAGACAACTGCAGGTAAAGTGCTTTGCCCAAGGACACAAGCAAAATGCATGGCGAAGGGTTGAACCCCCGACCAAAAGGTTGAGAGGCTTAAAAAGTAAACACTGTGCCAATACTCTCTTGAATGTGGAGAAAATTGCATATAGAAAAAATAACCAATGAAGATGTTACAAATTTTATAGAAGGATGGCAGAAGAGCTCAGAGGTAGCATGCATTTTGGGTTTTTTAGACATAAATGTGCACAAAACAGAACACTGAGAAACCAGATGCCTGAGGATCTGCTAATCAGTTGGAGGGAAAGGCGAGGGGCCTAAACACCCCAGCTGACCCATGTGTCCAACTGAAAGACAAATGTATTCATTTTATAAACAGGAGATATAAAGAGGGCTTGAGAAAGTGTGTGGTCGGAGGCAAATGAAGTCCCAGAAGCATTCTGGAGTAAAAAAATTCAAAAATTCAGCTGTTGGGCTATGTAAAAATATAAGTTGGGGCTGGAAGCTTTTTATCGAGATAAAATGGAGGCACAGATATTTTTTTCAGGCCTGGATATAAATATCTACAGATTGTATGAATTGCAAAAATATTTCTTTATATAAAATTTTCTTTGTTATTTGAAATCACTATAACTTTTTTTTTTATCAATCAGCATAAGAACACAATTTTCTAGCATGAGGTTCAGTTCTTGCAGCTATTACCTGAAAAACTTAAATTACCTTCAATCCTATAGCTTGGTGGGCTGCGAGCGTTACTGCAATAGCGCCATCATATGATGTGTACTCTTGAATCTTGGCATATTCAACATTGGAGAGAGCTAACCCACCTACAAAGAAATAAATTATTGAATTAAATATACTAAATTCCTATTTTATCTTTATAATATCGACTCTCACTATCTTCATCATTTTCTTTCAAATCATGTTCCTTATCTTTATTATCATCATCTTTACTACCTTCATAATCACTATGTTTATCTTCATCAATATCGATCAGTATCTTTTTCCTTAGCACTATCTTCATTGCAATCTCTCTTGGGAAAAAACATCATTCATCATTTTCTCTTTTCACATCATCTTCTTTCACAAGGCTGCCTATCTACACTTGTTCTGCCATGGAGAAGCATGGCTCTACTAACACTTACCATACTCCTCTGGAATTTGCTGTCCAAAGAGTCCCATTTCCTTCAACGCTTGCATAGTTTTGTCATCAATTTTGGCTGCCAGATCTATTTCCTTGGAGGGCACTAGTATGACATCAAAATTGCAAATTAGAAGTGGTTTGGCACAGCGGGAACGGTTTGCTTTTCCAACCTCAAGGTCAATTTTTCAATCCTATGCGGTGTATTTCGCTTTGTGCAAGACACTTTATCTGCATTGTTTCTCTCCACCCAGGAGTATAAATGGCTACCTGGTGGGGTTGCCTGCTCCGTTGCTGATTACTAGCAGTAACACATAAAAAGCATGTGGAACCAATGACCAGAAAAAAGAAGTGCGCTTTATAACAAGGAAAAGGCGCATTATAAATACCAGTACCAAATAAAAACATTAAATAAATTCATGAATATAAATTGTTAATAATTTATATGTTTTTAATCAATATATGTAAAATGCGCTAGGTATTACGGCAGTGGCGGCACCAGGAGGGGTCAGGGGATTTTTCCCCATCAGACAAGACATCGCTGTCCAACGCGATGTCATCAAACTAAAAATATTATTTTGCTGATCCAAAGTGACTGTGATTCACAGCCCATATAATACTGACTATAATATTTCTCCCAATGAACCCTACCAGGGATTTTATTCCAGGAACCCCTCTTTTTTCCCACCCACATTGGCCTCTTTGTAATCCCTGTTACAAAATTTCTGGAGACGCCTATGTAGGACAAGTTGATAAAAGATTGTAATATGATCTGAAAGAATTACAGTCTGGAGTTCAACTTTCAGTTGGTTGAATCTCTTCAATCATTCTAAATAAATAATAAGCCTTAAATTCTAATTGATAATATTTATCATAATAAAATTTATAAATAATAGTAAGATTTATTAACTACACATATCCACTGCAGTATTGCTCAAGGCATTACAGAAATATGGAATCAAAATTTATCATGAACCTTAAAACTTAAAAATTATCCATTTTTCATCCATTTTAATATTTCTAATAATAATAATTGTAACTTGATATTCTGTACGCTTTTTTGTAATTGTAACTTGGCCATGATTATAGTTGTAAATTTACTTGTGATTGATTATTATTATTATTAAAAATTATTATTATCATTGAACATACCGTCTTCTCTGAAGAACTTCTCAATTGGGGCACAAAGCTCATTAATTTCTTGAAATTTTTCTACTGATATTTCCGGATATGGGAATACATCCTCCTGTGAAATATCAAAGTGAATTTAAGTTATTTAAAATTACACACCGCAAAAGATCTAGGAATGCAGTTAGTCAACAGTGCGTCACTCCAGAAATATTTATAATGAACTTGACCATGCTCACGGGGCACTGCTTATCATTCACTTTTGCATGCTATTAAATAAAAATAAATGGCAGGAGAGATGAAAAGTCCATTGATTGAGATTATAGCAAGACTGAGTGAATGTAAGCTAGTCAATAATACTGTACTTTCAGGCCGGGGGAGGGGGGTTATGGTTCGAGCATAAACACTTTTGTAGCAAACACCCCCCCCCCCACCCTCAAATTTTCCAAATTAATCCCCAAACCCAAATAATGCACTGCAGACCCACCTAGGCTACTGAACTTTTTCAAACATCACTGCTTTTACAGCATTATTTAGGCCTGTAAAACACAAAAATCCTCTGGCTTTGGCTGTTTCGCTGACCCCCACTGGGGCTCAGCCCTGGACCCCACGCTCACAGAACCCCCCTTGGAAGAACGTGGCTATGCACCTGACATTTTTGATAAGGTTTGGGGAGTATAGCGGCAGTTTGGCGCAGCGGTTGAGGTTCGGGCTTTCAATCGTAAGTACAGTAAGATCAGGGTTTCAAGTCCGCTGTCCAGATTTGCTTGACCTTGGGCAAAGCACTTTAGTTGGTTTAGTCCACCCAGCTGTATCAATGGGTACCAGCAAACTGCTGGGGACTAACCTGCAACGGACTAGCATCCCATCCAGGGGAGTACAAATTTCATCCGCTTCACACTACAGAAACTGGGGATAAATTCCAGTCCTATGAGCCCACATGGCTCAAAAAGTATTTAGTTGTTTTTTTTTTAGCTTTGGGGAGTGAAATCAGAGCATTTTTGTTTTAGTTGTAAACATGACCTTCATGGAGATTGGAAGAACAGACTAATACCTACTGTAGCGGCCAAACCATATCTCCAATCATCAATGGACTTTTGGTCCTAAACAAATGAAGACAAAGTCTTCATGTAAATGATACAGGCATACAGCAGGATTGCCTTTTTCCTTCGTGTAGATTATAAGGGTCACTCTTTTACTTTGAATAAAAAGTTTGCCAACTCCTTGTTAATATTATTCGGTAGCGCAGGTCAAAACGGCAATCAACCGAAACAGCAATGACCAAAACAGCAATTAACCAAAATGCCAGTAAACCAAAATGGCAATGATAAGTACCATAATGCAACAGACAAAAACGGCAATGACAAGAGTACCAATCAAAATGGCAAAGGAGCAAAAT